ATCAAATGAATGGGGAAAGGAATCTGCAAATCTCTCCGGAGGCGGAAATGTTGCAAAATTGAACACGTAGAGTTGGAAAGGGGATCGGGAAAAAATGTATGGGAAAAAGCAATAATGTGGTTTAAAGGGTTTTGGAACATGCGAAAGGGTGACGGCAGAGGAAAATTGATAGAGTGAGATTGAAGATGATGAAATTCGATGGTCTGACTTGGCGCACAGATGAAAAATGGCACAATTTTATGAAATAAAGACGGATGTCAACATTAAAGTTGCACAAGACATTCGCTCGAGAGCTGGAGCTGGAATAAAATCACGTACTCTCACGTTTGATATTAAAATTTTGATTGATTTTGTGCAAAAATATGAAATTCTTCAGTTGATGCTGCCATTTTTGACTCCATCACATTTTTCACACTCCGCAACCCTGGCAGAAGTTCACCATAGTGGCTTTGGGGTGGGTTTAGGTGGACGTCCCAGCATTAAATGAATACCATGACTGTGGAACGTGACATTTGATTAAAAATTGACAAGGGATGAATGATTTTTCATTTGCCCCAGTAATATTTATGCGTGAGGGATTATATGTATAGTGTGACAGCTTTTAAAGTTTATGCATTTCCTTTCTGCATAGCCTAGTGTGGGTTAATTGGCAAAAAATACGACAGAGCAGCACTCTAAATTCCATCGGAACATGCGGCAAAACATGTAATACACTTCTTTCACAGGTGAACGCCACCAATATTCGATACAGCATCAATTTGCAATTTCTGCATAAATCATAGCTGCGCTGAATTAAATATTAGCCACACTCAACCGTCCATCTCAGTTGGCATCCACTCTGCGGCTCCGCCAAGGATACACATTAATGAATTGAAAGCCATGGGAGTGGAGAGATTGGACATTTTTAGGGGTGCGCGATTAAATTATTGATGAGGAGGGCGTGTTAAAAATTTTCACACATTAATTACTGCACACACGGTCTCGCGAGATTGATTCGGTGGGGAAGAGTAGAGCTACAGTGGCTTCAGAGTAAATAAGTACAGCTGCAACAGACACAATACAATTGATGTCTTACATTAAACTTACAGACAATTCTGTAAACTATTAAATTGTCTTATAATGTTTAGACAACCTCAGAAAACCTCGTTCTTTTTTATGTTCAGATTTCGTTCAATGACTTATCGTAAAATATAGTGTGCAATTTAGCCCCGATTTGCGCTTTTGATAGCTCACAGGAATTTCCAGTGTGGGGGTGAAAACTTATTTACACACTCTCAAAACATATCTGTAATGATGCACTCAGAGAAACCGCACACGTAATTAGATTAACGCGGCCGGGAATTGAACGATCCGGGATTTGCTTTGTGCTCCCGTCACTTCCCACACCTCAAAGCTAACGATCCTCCCACACCAATGGCGCAACCTTTGTTTTGTCCGCTATCGTGAGCGACACGTCGCAAGTCCCCTTAATGATACCACAACTGATTAAAAGTCTTTTAATTCTTTATGACCCTGCATAAGCACACCCCACATTCAATGGCTGTCAGCCGGTGACGTTCCGGTGCGTAGTTTCTCTTGAGTGCATATCCGTGGGTCAGAGTTGCAGGTGGGTGGAAATGGGGAGCTGCGCTGTGGAACTCATTAAACTGTTAATTACACGAGGCGCTTATGGCGAGAAATTCACCTTGCTGTGCACGATGTAGGACACGTCGCTGGGTGCGGACGGGCGGCGGGCGGGGGTTGTACGATAACGGGTTAATTCCAGTGGGCGGTCCGGGGGTTGAGGGTGGACGGAGCGCCAACAATGTTCCTATGAGCCATTAGAAGCCATCAAGAGTGTGTCGGAGGATGGAAAATGGACTTGCTTTGTTGCCCGTACTTTTAATAACACTCAGAAAGGAGTGTGCAGCTCCGGAGGAATGGTAAAAAATGCTACCATGAAAAGATTCACATTTGACACGCCTCTCCTTGCCTTTCTCCTCGGGGGTGTTTTTCCTCGTCTGCATGCTCTCTGCCTTGAGAATTTTCCACCTTTTACGTAGCTTTCCCATTAATTTCCACCCATGGACTCTCGAGTGACTTCCAGCCAGAACACACATTCCAATACACAAAAGATGCTCCACGGCGTCTTGCGATTGCGAAGAAGTCAGAGCACAGGACAAGCCGGACTCGGAGGGGTGGATAAATGGCTGAAATTACTGCCTTTTGTGCAATTTATTCAGAAATTACGATCGTATTCAACTGCAATTTCTCATTCAAATGAATTGCAAGGAATTCTGCACATTATAATTTATCCGTTCCAGCAGAAGCGCAATTGAGAGGGGAAGTTTTATTTGAATCTCTTTCAAATATCGCGCGAATATCTCCGCGTTTAATTATATCGCTAACAAATAGAGTCCATTCTTCTGCTATTCACCCACCATAAATGGATTTGGTGAAACAAGACTTTTACAACACTCAAAACAAGTAACTATATTGCGCAGTCTTGCATTACATGAAGAGCGTATCATAAATTTATCCACTTCTGAGCACTTTTACACGACTTTTTTCATCTGCAATCTGACTCATTTTGTACCATCGCGCGCCATAAACAACCATAAAAATGAGTCTATAAAACAATTCCAATTTCAGATGAAGTGCTAAAGTTGCACCATGATTTTTCCTCAGTGTATAACTCTCCCTGATTTCCCGGCCCAGAAATTTATGTGCTGAATTCTCGCCAATTATCTCCCTTTTCTCGCCCACGCGGAAAGCGCTCTCTCCAGCGGACTTGGGTGGTTTGGGTGAGAAATATTAATGTAATTTAGAGTGAGACAGAAAAATGATGTGGCTTTCCGACAATTCAGCAGCCCTTGGCGAGGGGATGGGGGGTTGATTGATGAAAATGAATCTGAAAATTTGAGATCATGTCCATTATTTGCGATGAGAGAAGCAATATTTCGGGCGGAGCCAAATTGGGACAGAGCGACAGGTAACTTTGAATTTACATAATTGAAAAACTTTTAATAAATTTTCCTGTGCCATCGCATAGAGAGGAAGAGGAAATTGAGGTCAAGTCATTTGTGCGTGTGTTTTCTTGTACAAATCGAGAGGGACTTTTTATTCACTGCGAGCGGTGAAACGCTGTGGGACAAAATTAAAATCAATTTATTATCTTAAGGGTGGGAAATCGACATCCTGGCCGAGGACAAAGGCAGGAGCGCCATTGTCTCACATCCCTTTTAATTCAAATGGATGATCTTCCTCGGGGTTGTTGCAAGTCGGAGAGAATGTGAAACTTTTGATCCCTTTAATCTCGGCACACCATCAAATCATCCAATTTAAACTAAATAATTCGCTCGATTGATTTCGATTTGTGGGCGCGTGGAAGGGGGAATTTCCTTATATCAAAAATCCATAGAGACGCAACAGGAAAATTAAATTTCCCGGAAGCATTTACGAATTTCATCTCTTTTCCTTCGTCTCGACGTCTCCGCATTATTCAATTTCGCATGAATTCAGATAGAGCTCCGTCTTTTCTCCCTTTTTTCTGCACCTCGTCCGCGCCATTCTTTCATGCCAAAACCGCACAGCTGAGAGTATATAATAGTTGATGAAGGAATGACATGGAGTTGCTCAAGAAATGAAGTCTCAAAATCACTTTAGCGTCACAATATTTTCTCAAGACCGTGCGGATGTCATTCCTTAATAGGATGGGAAGTGTTACGATTTTTCTGCAAATTTGCTGACAAAGCTTAATTTGTGAGAGCTTAGCGCGCTTAAGCGCTCAAGACGTGCATAAGGCATAATCCTACTCTCTTTTTAATTAGCTGTTGAGTTATTTTCGAAGGATTAAGTGTAAAAAAAAACTCCCCGCAATCCTGGTTGCGAGACGCTTGCATAGTTGCATCACTATTCATTGCCGCAACGCAGCCACTTGAGAGGATGCTTAATTAATCAATTAATTCACTTTCTAACGCCTTCGCGCGGAAATGAGTTAAATTAACAACTCTCCGAGGAGAGGCGACAAGACTGCAGCTTCCATCCAATTTTCTTTCCATTATCCACAACTCGCCTTTCAATTGAGATGCGAGTGAAATAATAGAAAATATTGAACTTGCAGTGCGCGAACTTCTCAAAATGCCATCATGTTTGGTGGGGCTGAAATGTGAAGTATCGCCACCGGGAGATGGGAATATTTGAGTAATGCAAGAGTAGAATGTCAAATATTTTCCTTGGATATTATCCCCCTTTCTTTCACCCTCTGGAATTTCCTCACCCGCCGACTTCTGTGCCAATATTTCACTTACAATGCTCCATCTTCGCATCACTCGCACTTTCCTCGGGGTTTATTTTCGCTCACGCCACTCGAGAGTGTCCTGTGGGTTGAATGGGGAGCACCGAGGGCGAAAGAGCGAATAAATACATGTATGATGTGTGTTAAAAAAAAATGGTACAGAGTGCGCACGAAGGGTGGAAATCAAGAATTTTCACTCAAAGAGGCGGCAAAATGAAATGGTGGAGGGAAAATAAAGGGAAAATGCTTACTCCTTCAAGTATAATTTAACGATTTCCTCTTTAGCCATCTCATCACAAGTCGACTTCCCCTGGAGAGGAAAGCCGTGTGTGTGTGGTAAGAATGGGATGCGTTGTAAAGAGCAGAAAAAAACAGTGGGGAAGACGGAAGCTCAGGAAACGACGACAGAGGCACTCATTTGAGCAGATGTCAGAGTTGATTGCCAGCAAGTTGGTGTGCTGCCAATCGGTCCGTGCGATTTGATCAGGCGAGAGAAAGTCGTAATCCTGTCAGGAGAAGTGTCAGAAGCACTTTGCGCTCGGCAAGAGAGTCATTTGCTGAAATTAAATAAACTTAACCGATAAATTAGTTTACTATTTTCGGAACAACACTTCCTTTCCGCCCTTCGCAAACTCTGCGCCCTTTAAACTGTGAGGAAGTTTCCCGGGTGGAGAGGCAATTTAATTACATCCTAGCTCATGTGGACACTTTGTCTCCCTTGCAGATGCTCGTGCTCAATCCTCGTCCAAAGAACCCATGTTCATCAGCAGATCGGAAACTTTCAAATTTGTCGCCGGCGAAACAATTCAGCTGCCGTGCCAAGTATCAAATACAGGTGAGAGGAATTTTCTGCATATTTTCTCAGGTGCATCACAATCACTATTTCAAAATGTTAATATTGACCAGCATAAATTGAAAAGGTTTTTACAGTGAGGAATTTTTATGAATTTTTACCGAGGACAGTTGAATGTGATCTACATATACACATATTTGTACTCAATGAAGAGATGTTATTTTATTTATTCAACTAGTCAAAAAGTCCTGTTTACATAGAAAAACATATAGCCATTGTAAACTGTGAAAATGATCTGATTTATGGGCATATTTGACAAAATGTGCCCTCAAAATTATAAGTGCGGTGCTAATGGGTTTACATAATCGCATGAGCTTAGCATTTTCCAACTGTGTTTGCAAAAGCGCCGCTTCGTGGTGAGATTGAAGGCATGACGCTTGCCATGCAAGCCTAAGATGCGCCAAAAAGGCGGTATAAATTTTGTCTTTAGGGAAATTGCACTGGCAAAATCATCACGTGAAAGCATCTTCGTCCGGAGATGGTCTTTTTGGGGCGTTGTTGTGATGTGCCTTTGGAGAAGATAGAAAATGTGTAACATGCAATTTTCAGCACAGAGAATTTAGCACTGAATGACATTTTCTCATGCTCTGGAAAATCTACACACAGAAAACTACATTGTGGCCTGGAAGCGAGGGATTGCCATTCTGTCTGCCGGCACAGTCAAAGTGACTCCGGACCCACGGGTGCGATTAGTTAATGGATTTTCCTTGCAAATTAGAGACGCAGTGCCACAAGACGGCGGTGATTACATATGTCAAATAGCAACTCTCAATCCAAGGGAAATTACACACACCGTGGAAATTCTAGGTAAGATTCACTATATGCAAATTACATGACAACCCCAAAAATTCTCCGTGCGCCGCATCTTCTAGCGCCCAAGAAGAATTGCTATTCCATTCTCAACCCAATTGTCATGATAATCGTCTTTTCTCCATGATTCGCCTCAATGCTTTGCGCATTGAGAGAAATCACATCTTTGTGTAATGCACAGTGCGCAAAAAAAGATCATGGAGAAGCTTTTGTGTCTCACATTGCAATGTACAAAAGCCGCTGCACAAGAGCGCTTTCCTCCCTCAAAAACTGATTGGGTGGAAATGCAAAATTTCCACGTCACTTGAAATATTCTCTCTTCGGACATTTGCTCGAGCATTTCTTCAATTATCGATTGGGCGAAGTGGCAGGAGTGAGAAATTGGTTACTCAGAGGAACTACTCTCTTTTTGCACCCCACCAATGGGGGATGAAATTAAAGTTTACGCTCTGGGAAGGACGGAGTGGTGTGAGTTAAATGGATCTTTGATTTGGCAGTCGTGCTCTCGATGTAAATTTACCACAAAAGCAGCTTTAAAGTTCAAAGTACACTCGAGAGAAATCGAGTACCAATTCAGTGGTGTTCTTATCAAAGAGTGGATGCCAAGCGAAATTCCAACCGCACACTTCCACCAACTTTCAATTGAGGATTTTATGAATTCCAACACATGATTTCCTGCTTCGTGCCATCGAAAGCTCTCCGTCGCCAAAGTGCTCCACAACTCTCTTCGCGTTCCCACGCCGCTCAGTGAGCATGACACAGGCACATTTGACGTCCTGCCGCAAACGATCATCTGGAAAAACCCTCAAAAATCACCCTGCAGAAGACGGTGTATTTCCGGGAGTTTCGCCATACTCACTCAACACGAGCGTGTGACATGTTGAAGTGAAGAAAATGCGACAGCACAGCATATTGATATATCGACTCTGTGCCAAACTTTATGTTGTACAAGTCGTCAGGCATTTATTAGTTTTCTTTGAACTTTCGCATGCCTCCAATACAGTGTCTGATGTGTAGTTCTCCACAGCGAGTAGGGCGGTTTGGGGTGTCCGACGAAGGGCAAATAACTCATTATTTATTCGACCGTGAATTCCGGCGAAATAATTTGCCTAACAAACAAGAAAATCACCAGACGCTGTGTGACTTACGGCTTGTTTGCCAATCTCATAACACAGAGTTTGTTTTGTGCAGAATTTTCAAATTCAAACAAGACGACTTTTAAGCCCATTTCCAGCCGCCTCACCCCACATCGCTGACCCTCTCCATCTCTTGCAAGTTGTGCGCGCTGGCAGTCCATGATTTTAATCCGACAATGTCCCCGAAACAGCACAGAATAGCTGAAATAAGTGGAATTAAAAGTTGGTTCAGAACTTTTCACATACAAGTGAGTAACAATGGCCAGTCCAGTTAATGCGAAATCGAACATTTATTGGCAATCTCAGAAAATGTTCTGGACAAATTGGAGGACTTCACCCCATTCTTTGGTACACTGTTGAGCAATTAACTTACATGTGCTGCAAGTGAGACTTGTCGAAAAGTCCCTCCGTCTCAGGAGCTAAAAGGACACTCACGGAAAAAATGTGCTGTTGTACAGCATTTCTCTCACATCTCCCCCGCCCACTCTTCCGAGAAAAAAAAGACGCACGAACTTCTTGGACGGAAGAAAGTCCTGCAAAAGTTGCACGACACGATATAGAAATCAATTTGTAAGTGTAGCAATTTATCCGATTAATTTGCAGTTCCGCCAAAGATCAATCACATAAGTTCGGGGCCGCACTTGCAGGTGAAGAAGGGCGCTTCCGTGAGAATCGAGTGCTCAGCGTCGGGAAATCCCAGTCCAAACATCACCTGGACCCGAAAGAACAACGTTCTGCCAAATGGTGAGCAAGAAAAATGTCTTTTACACTTCTGGGTGAGGTAAAAATTTTCGCTCAGAATTGTGGAATGATTTTAGAATTTTACTAGATTAGAGATGCAAATTAACACTGTATTGTGTTCCTCACAAAATTTCTCACAAAATAGTTGAGAAAGAGGTAATTAATTGGACTCTCTCGTCACTCTTAGAAGAAATCTCTAATCTAGCGAAAATCTCTGCAGAATCTGCACATCTTAGACTGTAATGCCTAATTTTTCAGGTGAAGAGCGACTTTTCTCACCAATCTTATCCATTGAGAACATGGACCGACACAAAAGTGGCATTTATATTTGTCAGGTGAGCTTTAGGGTGTTTTATTTTATGAAAAATTCATCTCTTATGGAGATTAATGCATGTGATGCATGGGAGATTAAGCGTCGGCGGGAGAGGAAGGGAGAGAGCATGACTGAGGAATAATGAATGCACTTTTTTTCAGGCAAGAAATGGTGTTGGCCAGCCTGCCAGCAGTCAAGTCGCGCTTCATGTACTGTGTAAGTTTTCCAACAATTAAATTGCATTAAAGGCCAAACAACGTCAGTCTCATTGGACGGTTGTAGAGTTAAATTTAATTTGAGATCTCTCGCCCAGTGCATGAAAATCCTGGGATACTTCTCCCCACTTGATGATGATGGTGCATGACGGGAAAAACTTTTTCTAACCATGGCGTTATCAAGGATGCCACAAAAAATAGCATCTCATCAGAATGAGCTGAGAAGCGTAATCCTTTTAGTTTCGGTTGTATCAAGCCATTTGTTATTATAATTGATTTTACTGAGTCTGCCAACAATGCACAATAATTAAAATAGACTGACACGCTGAATCCTAATTTGAAAAAAAGCTCACCAACTCGCCTGATGAAGCCACCCACCCTCGCAACTAGCGCCGCACACTCCATAAAACGCTTCAGACCTTGTATGTGAACATCAAATCTGAAACGATAACACCCTGCGGCGTGGGCAAAAAAATCCCACCGACAGTGGGGACTTTATTAGATTTTTAGCACCATCCGACGTAATCCAATTTTAGATCCATCGAGACGCAAGGGTGAGAGTGCATTTGCCAACGGCTGGGCCATTGTTGCTCACAATGTCGCCAATGCAAAAAGTTGTCGCAAGTGCGCTGGCGAGACTGCGCCGAAAAATATACGGAATTATTATGGAATTTATCAAAATTCTCCATCGCACCCCTCAACCTCTTGTTGTTTTTTCCCCGGCAAATTTGCCATCTGTTGCGGAAGGAGTTGTAAATTTTCGCATATGCTCTTGCAAAATGTTGGGTGATTTTTTCCCTAACAGAGAGCTTAAAGCGCTTGCACAGTCATTTCTTTTATGCTGATGAACTCTCGTCGAGTGGGAGTTTCTTCCCCGAGTTAAATGCTCTCATAGAGTCTCTATCTAGACGCTATGGCGCCGCAGCTCTGCAGTTACAGTGCTGATAAATTGAACATGTGAAAACTATATGTCTTTAAGCTCGCTGAAAAGCCTCCGACCCTCGGTGCGAACGGGGCACGTGGATTCGTGTGGGTGAAGACTAAATGTTGCGGTCGGTGTGTACATAGGGTGGGAAATCGAGAATATCGGAAGATAGTTAGCACGCACGCCGGATTTCAAATTATACACACATGTGAGAAAATGGCAGAGAGCTATACACTATATATCGCGTCTGTGTCAACTTGCCACACGCCCCCATTTGTCCCAATGAAGATAATTAATATGCTGGCTCGGTTAATCATAGTGGCAATATCCTTGGGACTTGTACCATAATCTGATGGCAAAAAGACAAGTATAAGCCCCTTAATAAATGTTGGTAATATTGGAGGGGACTTAAGGCGAATCTCAACTCAAATTCATAATTACTTGTGGGGTAATATGTCACAATGAGTGTGTCACAATGGCAAAAGGTATATTCGCATGGTGTCTTCCCAGCATTGGCAAATTGACACATTCTCTTGGGCTGTGCATGCGTCTGTGCGGGGGAGGGATGAATTTTCTGGCCAGAAAGATAACATGACCCTTATCACAGCTATTCATGCGCTGCCAAAGAACAGCCATACATTTCAAATTACTCACCATACAGCTCGCTTCGTCTGCGACGAGTCCCCAGGCGCTGGCATGAGGCGACTGAAGGGGCTATTAATCAATAAAAGACACCACTCTCGGGCCAATGCGCTGTCTTACCACTGTGTCAACTATATTAATCAATTCGGGCTTAGGGCAGGTCAATTTGAATGCGATCAACGCAAAATCAATCACGTCACACATTCTTATGTCTCGGCTTTGCTGGTCATTGAGGGGATTTTCCCGCCATCGACACCAACGATCGGAAGGGCACAGAGCAGGCTGAATCGCCTCCACTTCCCACCCTCATAGCAATTGAGTATGTGGCCTCTAATTAACCAGAAAGAATTTAATCACCCGTCCAATCACGCGCTCACGTGGAAGATCAGCTTCAAAGCACCTGGTAATTAGTGGAAAATAATAATATAAATTTCACACAAGACCAGCACAGACTCGAATTGCAGAGCTAAGGATTAATTTGTCCAGTATCTTTCGCCTCCTTTTATTGTCATCAGCAGACTTGCCACCCTTTCTCTTTGACACACTCTCCGCGCTTTGCAGCAATTCCTGCAAATCTCCTCAAAAGTTTTTCATTACAGCATAACTCTGTAATACGTGCATCCGTGGAATTTTAATGACACTCGAGAACAATATGTGAAAATTACCTGCACTTCACGGCTTTGTGCGCGCCACTTTATATTATTCATTGCGAAAATATCACGTCTCGGTGCGATTTTCATTACATCGCATTCACCGATGAGAGTCCTGAAGGTGCACTTGCAAAAATTGAAATGAAACTATTTTGCAGTCTGAGTGGGGAATTGTGGTCAAAATTGAAAAATAATTCAATAAAATGGCATCGAGGTGATTGTCAACAGGGCTTGTGTTATTCCCATTCATGGCTTTTATGGCTCCAGCGAGTGTGATTAAAAATATCAAGAGAGAGAGTTTGTGTGTGAAAACAAGCACATTTCATCGATAAAAGGGTAGAGAAAAAAAATTCCCTGCGATAATAAATATAGAACAACATCGAGAGTGAGTGTTCAATTTCTTGAAAAAATCTATCGGATCATTTTTCATATTGCACAAAACGGATGTGGGGAAAAAGCCCCGGAGGAACACAACGCGAGTCAAGCTCATGTTTGTGAGCAATTTACCTGGAAGACTCTTGCAAGAACGATAAGGAAGCCAATTTACTTTTATATGCACATTGGTTGCCTCTGATCGTGTCACTCCCGCAATTTCGATGCAAAAGACACACAAAATGTGTAGTTTACACACACACTCTGTCGCCTCTCAAGTGTTGCAGTTGCATTCTGTGCACAAACAGAATGCTATCCCTACTGAATAATTCTTTCATTTCTGCACGGTGGATTTCACATATCCTGCCTGAGTGGATAAAATATTTTTAAACTCTCCTGCAAAGGCATAAAAACTCTCAATTTACTCTGTGTAATGAAACCACACAACATCCAGGGGCGCACAAATAAATTTTTTCCTACTCTTCACTGAACACTAGACGTTTGAGACAGTCATTTGAGTCCCTTTTTCCACATTGTCGTGTGCGAAAATACCACAAACGTGGTTTGAATGGGGATTTCCAGGAGATTTTGCATCCAGATAATCCTGTGCACTTAATGATGAAGTGTGAAGATAATGAACGAAATCTGGGATGATCAAAGAGACCATTGAAAGCCTAGACTTAAGAGCCTCACACTTGGCCTTAAGCTGCACATACATATTGCAAATGACAATTGATTTATATTAAAGGTGCTCGTGATAATTAATCGAAAACTACAAATTGCGCTTCAGGAGTAACTGATCCTATATATCAAAGTGTTTACATATATTCCAATTGAGATATTATGCATGTTTGCAATTTGCGAATTCTACGCACAAAGCTTTGCTGTAACGAATTTAAATAGGCTCTGCTCGTAAAGACTGCAAGTTGGGTTTCAATTTCGCGCAGAGATCCTATGAGGAAATGGTGTCAGAAGTGGGATGAGCAGTCTTCACTTCCAGTGTGTATCAAACACAATTAAATTCTTTGAAGGGTTAATTTTAAAAATCCTCACAGAGGCAACATTATTGATTTATGCGACTCTGAAGAGCATTGTGGGCAAATAATTTAATTTATTCCCACTCCTCGTCCGCTGGAGCGCTCCTGCAATGCAATTATCCGCCCCTCGAGAATGACTACAGGGTGGCTGAACGTTGGGAAGCTCCACAGAGGCAATCCTCCGTGGATTGAGAGGGAGAGAAACGTGGATTTACTTCTTGTTTATATCACACAGAGATTTTTTCTCACACGCTTCTCTCCTCTTGCGCCGTAAGTGCTGGGGCTGCCATTCTTTTTGTTGTCTTTTGCATAAAAGCAAAGATAGTTCACACCCAATGTACATTAGTTATATGGTGGATTGAGTATTTCAAGTACACACACACACTCTGTGGAGAGCCTTTGGGGGTGAATGCAAACAACATTCCTCTCCAAATCCGATTTGCATAGCAATTTGAATTTTTTTCTCGCCTCTGCTTCCAAGTGCCCAAAAAACACAGAAGCTGGGACAGTCGAATGTGGGTCTTTTTCCCACTTTCACCTACATTGTTTCCCAGTGTGGCGGGAAGTCTGATTTTGCCCTCGAAAAACAGTGGATGGTGAAATATTCATCTAGGCTGTTTTTGGGATAAGAATTGTCGTAAGGAGACATCATGAAAATTTCACCATTTAATTTCACTCCACGAAATCACATTTTGAGAGGCATTTTGCCACAGCACTTCTCGCAACAAAGTTGCACGCGAGATGACCCAATTGATTACGCTCAGGTCATAAACAACAGTGCTAAATGGAGGATTTACAGGACTGCATTATATGTATATGATCGATGGGTGAAGGAATAACGTGCAGTGCGCGCTCCAATTTCTCCCATTGCTCGCGACTGATGGGGCTGTTAAGTGATTTAAATTGCACGTTTTATCGCTTTTTAAGGGTGAAATAAATGCGAGCCATTCAGTTCTCAACGCAGCGCAAATGAAAATCCAAATATCTTCATCATAAAAGTCTTGTGGAGAAAGTGCTACACTTTGAGCTTCAACACCCGCATTTTATTGGTGATTTCCGATGGCAATGAATTCCGTGCTATTTAATCGATGCACGAGAGTGTTATTGCTATTGGTTTTTGCACCATCATCTCAAGTTCTTTCTCCCTTCAGAGCGGGATTTATCGTGCGGTGCTTTGAAATGCGATTACACCATGAGCGAAATGCAATTTGAAAAATCCTCGATTGGCTGAACTTTGCGCGAACACGTGACAAAAGAGTCTCAGCGTTTTGTCACGCTGTTGTTCATTTTCTGAAAACCCATTTAGCCCAGAGTGTCTGAAAAGTGCGCGCTCTGTTTAGACTGGGCTGATAAATTTATACAGAGGCTCTGCGTG